TTTATCCGCAATTAGTTATACAAATTCAAAAATCGAGCTTTAATAAATTGTACTTTTGCATAATTTACTTATAATATTGAATTTTAAGTAAACATTGGTTTTATGTGGTTTTGAGAAAGTGAAAATGTTTTTATTTTTGAATAAAATATAAATTTAAAAATATTATAAAATTTTGAAAAAAAATATCGGTATCAGTATTAAATTAATCTTTTTAAAAGTTTTTGTGTTTTGGTGTAATTTTCTTAATTATTTTTTTAATTATAATTTAATTTATGTTTAATAATATAAATTTTTATAAAGAAAATAACTAAGTATTATGTTAGTTATCAATGATTATCCTAATTATATTTTAGATTTTTTATATTTAAAATGAGATGTTTATCCAATATTTGATTATGTTTATCTGCAGTTAGTTAGACGAATTCAAGTATGGAGCTTTAATAAGTTGTATTTATGTACAATGTATTTGTAGTCTTAAATTTTAAATATATGCATCAATAAATTGTACTTTGTGCATAAAAAATCGTTTTTAAAAGTTTTTGTCAGATGTTTTATAATATAGTATAGATTTTCTTAATTAAAATTTTTTAATTATAATTTAATTTAGGTTTAGTAACAAAGAAATTTAATTTAGGTTTAATAATATAATTTTTATAAAAATAATAACTAAGTATTCTGTTAGTTATCAATGATTATCCTAATTATATTTTAGGTTTTTTATATTTAAAATGAGATGTTTATCCAATATTTGATTATGTTTATCTGCAGTTAGTTAAACGAATTTAAGTATAAAGTTTTAATAAGTTGTACTATGCACAATTTACTTGTAATCTTAAATTTTAAGTAATATGCATCAATAAACAGTACTTTGTACATAAAAAATCGTTTTTAAGAGTTTTTGTCAAATGCTTTATAATATAGTATAGATATAGAGTTTGTTTCAAATGCAACCCATTGCATTTGTACAACCAATGCAACCCAATAAATTGAAATATTTATGGAAATGATGAGAATTCATTTATTGTGATTTGGATATTTATGGATGATAAATACGGTTCATTAATTATGATCGATACTTTATATTAGCAAACAATAAAAAAATTATATGAAATTACATATTCATCAAATTAAATGGACAATTGAGATTGAGTTGTATTGGTTGTACAAATGTAAAGAATTATATATATATATATATAT